TCTACCTTATTTAACACCATTAAATATTTGCAATGAAATCCTAACGATTTCAATATTTATTCATTTTCTTAATCTTTAATGATTGTTACAGAAATTATATTTAGCTGAATAATCTTTTGTGATTCCCTAAAAGGGTAGACTGAAACAATATTGTTTTTCCATTGTTACACGGACTAAGCACATTCCCGAATAATAATAATGCTATGCTGATTTCTAAAATCATTTTTCTGTATGGTAATGATATTTGAATACATTGTGTATTGTATGGACTGTGAGGACATACACTTACATAGTATACTATGAAGTATGATTGGATGTAGTTTATTTGCAGTCAGCTGATCTGAAAGTTAATACAACATGTGTATTGTATGAAAAAAAAAAACACTTACATAGTATACTATGAAGTATGATTGGATGTAGTTTATTTGCAGCCAGATGATCTGAAAGTTATTGAAAGGATTTACGAAAAGAAGATGCAGAACTCTACTGAATGATGGTGATGATGCGTCAGCACTGGCAATAGATGGTACCATGGAAACCATTATACAAATATTCAAATGCCTATTGTCACATTGCAACGTGTCATGGCTGTGATTCCCCCCTTGGAACAGTTCATTGAGTTATTTACAAATCGTTGTTCCAGGTTTGTGAAAATTGTATTTTTGTAAATGCACCCACAACTTATGAGCAAATTTATTTTATTCTAGGGCGACGTTTGACGTGTAACCGAAGTACTCCAGCTACAAAATTGTTTGTAGAATGATAATATCAAAATTTGCAAACAGACAGACAGATAACACCCACTTTTATTAACACAGAAAAGATTTTCCGCAATAAAACCCCAGCCTCATTCACCAAACGCCATAAGTTAGAGGTTCATGAACTTTCATAAAATGACATCAAAAGTTCAGTCGTAAGGTCAATTGGGCCATACACCGGCTATAGCGTGGCCATAATAAACCGTTATCATACGAGCAAGTTCACAAGAATAGATAAAGTTCCCTAACTTGGCCCCTCAGTTCCGGGCTTACTTAGACTTTATATAATGTTGTTTGATGTAATATACGTCTTATAATTGAATTTTGTGCTGAGTATATCATATTTAAAGTATTTTAAGTTAATACTGAATACATATACAGCCATGCTCCAGAACGGGTCTGTCCGACCAGAGCGATACCACGGCCTCAACGAAAACAGTCGTGAAACAACCACAGCGTTGTGTTTCACCGTTTGAGTGAGGTTACTGGAGGTCGGATCCTTCTCCTCCTTCAATCCCTAAATCTCCAAAATCCTAATCCCAAAACGGTCGGCAACGCACTCGTAAATCGTTATTGCGAGTGTCCATTCGACGGCGCTGATTGCTTACCATCACTTTAGAAGATGATAACGAACTGTTCGTGAATTAATTGTGAAATTCCAATATTATATAATAAGATACATACATATTACTATGTTATACTATGTTGTTATATATATGTTATTTTGCTATCTATTTCGTGTTATAAACGTGCTATATGTAGGTACAAATACGAATTCTAATATTCTTGATTGCACTCGATTTTTCCGTCACGTTTTCCTCTTGTTAAGGCTTGTCTGTAAATTCACGTAGGGCAAATTGTTTCCAATTTAGTCCGCATGAGTTCACTGGCTCTAAGTGAGAACGATACGGGCGGATAAAAGGTACGAACTGAGTTGCCGAGGCATCTAACAAAGTAAATTAATTAAAAAAAAAACATGTTGGTACTAGATATTATTTTACTAGTTTAGCTGTTTAGTACGAATTCTTTCAGTTAGACCCTTATAAGCAATTTTGAACGTCAAACACAATTTTGAAGAAATAAAGTTTCAGCCTGTCAGTCAATCCATTTAGTGAAGCTATTCGCTCATTCCAAAATGGAGATTCCATTGGAAAACTCTTTGGTTGCTCTTTTTAAATCAGTTTCACATACAGATTAATTGTTAATACAGTTATTATTTTAACTAACAATTTGAAAAAGTATTTTACGTCATATCACGGATTAAAACTGAAATGAAAACAAAAAATATTCATACAATTTCAACATAAATTAGTTGTTGTAGGGTTCTTAATCGTTTGAATAGGATATATAGCTTAGCATTTGCTGGACCAGGACTATATATATACTATACTATATCGCGGATTCAATTCCCGCACGAAATAACTCTTTGTGTGAAGCACAAATTCTCGTTTTTGATCTAGGTTTTTTGTGTATGAGAAATTGTATATTTGTAAACTAGCTATCAACCCTGGTTTAGAACGGCTGCAATGCTGATAACTTAATTTCTCCACTATTTAATGGATGTTATTATACATATATAAACCTTCCTCTTCAAACACTATATCTATAAAAGGATATTGTATCAAAATCTGTTGCGTAGTTTCAGAGATTTAAGCGTACATAGGGAAATGATGACAGACAAAGCTATTTTGTATACAGTGTAAAAGGATTTTTAGATGTTTTATATTAACATGTAAAAGGAAAAAGCAAAAAAATATTGTTTTAAATAAATGCAGACAACTGTAAAAAATAAACCACCAGTGTAATATAATTAACCCCTTTGTGAGATTTTTCTGTCACTGGTGTATTTTTTCAACCTTTTCGGTTCTACTTTAATATAAGCTCGTGAAAACATTATTTTATATGGACTTATTTACACACGCTTAGGTGAAACAATTTTCAGGGTGCCTCGTTCCTAGTTTGTGGGATTTGTCACAATGTTTATGGAGGCACATTATGGAATTTTACGTCGCTACCATTAACCTAAATCCTGGCTTAAAAAAATATATGCGAATTTTATTTACTGGCCAAAAATGTATCCAATATAGTTGATCAAACTAAACTAGTTCATTAATTAGTTTATAATAATACGCTCACCATTACTCAATGAATATAAATTTATATTGTTACGAATTTGTTCTTTATTGGAAATTGATTGGAAGGGCAATGACCGTATGATCTAGAAAGTTATAAGGCGATGAAACAATTTCTTATTTCACTGAGCAATCGCATCGCATTAAATACAGTAGAGGGAGAATAAATGAAATACATATTTTAAAGGATTAAATTCTTGTAGATAATATACAATTTCTATATAAGATATTTGTCTGTAGGTAATGTGTACACTTTCAAGAAGCTTTTAGTATAGAAACGTGAAAGGGCTACCTAATGCAACTCAAAATTAGATAGAGAATTTTTCTCCACCCTAACACAGAAAACTTTTATGTGGCTGAAGTTTAAAATCTTGTTTGTCCAACGCCATTTGATCTATTTGTTACACGAGTTTTATCACTATTCCATTTTATAAGACCTCCACACAGAAAAATAATAAACATATGTGATGTCCATGATATACATTAAGGAGTGCAGAACGTAGGACAATAAAGACTGCAAAACTATCCTACTGAACCAGCCATAGTGCTTATACAGCAGATTATGTTTAACACATACGTAAGTGTGGAAGAGCCTTGCTACGGCACGAATGAGCCGGCTTGACCGGGGTGATACCACGGCCTCACAGGAACCTGGCGTCAAGCATCACTGACGTTGTGTTTCACCGTGTGAATAAGGTTACCGGAAGCCCAATTCTTCACCCCTCCTCCTATCCTCTATCCTTAAATTGCTAATCACCAACGCGCAAACGCACTTGTAGTACCTCCTATGGTGCTAAGAGTCTTATTGGCGGCGCAGATTGCTTACGATCACGTAAACTGTCTGACAGCTGGACGAGCTATGACATAAAAAATAATTGATGCATTTTTAGTCGTATGGACACAAGTTGTTAAGAGATGGAGCAGCTGTTAACGAATTACTATTGAATGTTGGATTTCTTTGCTTACTACCTACTTTGGACTGTAAAATGAAGTGAATAGGTAGGTACCAAAAGCTATGTGGTGTGACGATAATGGATAAAGTGAGAAATTAGTATATTAGAGGAAGTTTGAAAGTGGCGCCAGTGACTGAAAAGTTGAAAGGGAACCGTTTGTCTTGGTATGGCCATGTGAAAAGGAGGGAAAAAAGCATGATACAAAAAAAGCCATTAATTTAACTGTGGATGGATAAAGAGGGAGAAGGAGACCAAAGAAAATATGGATGGATTGTTTGAGAAGTTATATGGAAGACAGAGGAGTTAGCGATAGCGTGACGAGTGACAGGACAGCAGAATGGAATAAAAAAAAATATTGCGCCGACCCCAAATAAAACGGGACAAGGGCAGGAAGATGATGAGGTACCAAAAGCTAATCCTAGATCTTTTTTATATATGACTCATTGTTGACGGTTTCAAGGACATCAAACCATTTATTTATTACGAGTATAATATACACTTGCCCCTAGACAATTCAGATGAACTCAAAATGTCTCACCGAGAAATTCTATTCAGTGAAGTTCACAATATTGTTAAAAGTATTTTCAAGTTTAGTACCTGTATACAATTCACTTCATTGACTGTACATTCGCCTCGCGGTAACGACAGAATGATTACCATAAATTTTGTGAGTACATTACAATAAAATATCTTTCCACAGCGCCCTGCTAAGTCGTTTATACCTTATTGAACAATTTATGTTATGTACTAACCGTTTATAAGCACCAGTAAGTACGTGTTATAGCACATTTCTGTGATAAACAATATTCTAAAAGGAAAGTTTCACGAAAATATGTTTTTATTATGAAAATTACACAATGTAGGTTTATCTACAAGTAAACTTAACTTTGAACTAGCGTCAGTTTGACTTGCATTTTTGCTGGGTTTTAGAGATGATGTAGTTTTACATATTTTTACTTCTTGTCTTGCTATAATTCTTTGAACTAAAGTTTATCAATAGTGTAAGGTGTTGATTACATACGACAAAATGGACCGCGAAAATAGGTATATAATCAGATGATTTGTTGACATCTCTTAAATATTTAAAAGTAAGGAAATTATATAATAAAGCTATGGGACTTTGTAAGTTACAAGTTATTTACAAATTTCATTATGTATTAGATGATAAAAGGACTAACAGTTGATTCAGATTTTTTTAAAGCAAACCTCTTTTGTATGGGTTTAAAGTTGGATCTATCATCAATGAATTCCAAACCTTTGTTGTGTTCATCTTTTCTTGTTAATATAATTTGTTTGGTATCAGATGTATTTTTTATTTCTTTATTAATCTGCTTTATAGTTGCATCTTTTTCAATTATTGCATCATTTTTTGCTTTTACTTCTATGTCGTTTAACGGTATATATGGTAGTTCGATTTCAGTTAGAATATCATCATTGGCAACTTCATTTCCACTTAGAAATAGTTCATTTTCTTGATCTAGCGGGTCTTTTGTCGTTTCAGTATGTTTATTAACAACGACATTATGGTTGGGCACTTCAGTTTCTCTTTTAACATTTTGTATACCTCGATGCGGGTTGGTCAAATCTATGAGAAATGGGCGTTTTCCTGGCGAGCGTTGTTCTTTATCAACTATTGTGTCAAATCTATTGACTAGGTCATCTTCTGGGTGATATGGGTTTCTAACACCTCGATGTTTCGATATACCTCGTTGAACAAGTTGTTGTGCAAAGTTCGTTAATGTTTCTGAATTAATAACTCCATCGAATATTTTTAATAAATCATCTGATTCTATTTGTATTTTTATCTTTTTACAATCGATTGCTAAAAGTGTCAATAAGCCCGCTAAAAAGTAACAAATTTATTTATATTGAATAAGATTATTTAAGCATTATTAATATTTTAACTTACTTGTAAAATAAAAAATTGGTTGCATATTTCACACGCAATCAACAATAAAAGTTGCAAAATGCTATATTATCGTTTATGAGCGAAAAAACGTTGTAAAATAAAGGCCATGAAATTGAATTATAAATTGAATCGTATGTTTAAATATTTTAATTGCATAATCGACATTAACATTATTAATGGTATCTTTAAATCTTTTATTAACTAGCTATGCTATGGTAATGAAGAAAATGTTATCCAGATGATGAGGTTTTAAGTTACTGGAAGTATTCTGACAATCTTTGATATTTATACCATTGTACACTTTTACAGTCTACAAGAATTCGTTTAAGTTGATTATGTCAAAGAATATTCAATTCAAGTTATTCTACCAGTCCTTTGTAGGTTTAACTCTGTAACATAAATACGGAAGTGTCGTCATATTATTTATTATAGCTATGTATATCCATAATGAAGACATTCTCAAACTACTTCAAACATCCTATGCGAATTTAGATGAAGTTCGTATCTCGAAACATTTGCGTGTATAGTTAGAATTAATTTCAAAGTTTTGTGACGTATGCCATAACTGTTTAGTTCAACAAACTCATTTTGTTATTCATTTATTCGTGTTTCAATTGTTATTTTCTAGTTTTTTAAATAACAGGATTTGATAGCTCCATTAGCATCTAAAAAAATTCAAACTAAAGATATTTTGACTACACTTTTATTTGACTGAACGTTTGGCAGAATAGCAGGGCAACTGGTTGCAGGGTGCAGCGTGTCACAGGTTCGACTCCCACAAGGAACACAATATTATTTGTAGATCCACAAATAGTTGTTTCTAGTCTCGATGGCTTATGTACGTTTGTAACGCATCCACAACACCAAAAACATCCAAGAGTGGGGCAACGTTTTTTTCATCAATACGTGTCTACATATTTTTTCTGTCTTCATCCTATTTGAATAGTAAAGACACTAGCGACGCTGGCGTATATAAAAATTTTGCATAAAAATGAAGAAATAATTTGCATTTGACTCTTCAGATAATGCCAGTAGTTCTCTATCATCTTCACAGGATTTTGATACGTATTCTAGAAGAAGTATCCGATTTTAACATAAATAATTTGATCACACTGTGTCATCTTCAGATAAGTAACTGATTAATGAAAAAGGCAGATAGTTTATATTGGCTATCCTGACATTGCAAAACAGATTCTAAGTCTTGGTAATTTGGTGGAAATTACTTCATAGTCTTGATGAACGACTTCAGAAAACAATATAAGAATCATTTCGTTCATGAAGGGCTTTTATAACATGTTTTATGGGCCACTCAAAGAGTTCCGATTATTTGTTTTCTCCTAATGCTTATAGTAAAGTTAAAGATAATAAAGAGACTTCTGGGTTTGATTGATTTTTGCCTTCTGACCAAACGGGACAATCAAGTCTATTTTCGACAGTAGTAGTAGACAGTACGAAACGACAACAATATTGAAATGTGTGCTTGTTAAGGGGACATTGACACCTAACGTCACAGACCCACTCAAACCCACTTAAACATTTTAGTTTGGGCGGCGAGCTCGTTATTTATAATACGCTATTACTGGAAAAAAAAGTGCAATCTAATCATATTTTCTGTGATTTTCAAATCACAAGAACAACCACGCAAACATTATTGGATGCACAGTGGACGCAGTGGCGACAGGCTGGCATGCAATATTTCGCGAGTTCTATTTTGAAACAATCACTGTGTGATCCACAAATTGTTGTGCCGACTCGGGGTGTAATGTGTTTGTGGATTAGTAGGTACTATGTTTATAAAATGGATCCACGACACAGGAGCAAATCCTGGTCTAAGGTAACATTACAATTAATAAATTAGTTTCCGACTAGTAAAATGTCAGATTTTAATTTTATAGAAATAGTATACAAAATAAAATACTAATACAAAACGTTTTGGGAGCACATTTATTATGCGTACAGCCAAGGAGTGGAATTCCTTGCCGGAGTCGGTGTTTCCTGATAGTTACAATCTAGGTATCTTTAAGTCAAGAGTGAATGGGTTACTTCTAGGTAAGCGCGCTCCATCGTCGACCGCATCGTCGCTTTCCATCAGGTGAGATAGCGGTCAAGCGCGAACCTATAATCAATAAAAAAAAAACTATACTTTTCTTTGAAATTCTAACATTTCACATGATCACAAAATTTTCTTGGAATAAATCGAAAATCAAGTTTATCGTCAAATCAATTTATGCGCCTACGATTATTTGAAATAATTTATTATTTTTTAAATATTTGTTAAAAGTCAAAATAATTTACTTTTGACCTGGGAAACTAGTCATAATCATTTTTTATAGTACTTACTATAAAAATATAAATTTATTACTTCAGTTCATTGCCCATTTTACAAAAATAACTGGTTTCTATGAATACGCACACAACTAACTCAAAATGTATGCTTTAGTGCGATTTTATGTATATTATGTTATTATGTCGTACTAAGCACAGTTATGCGGTATATTGTCCGCAATCCGTAGCCAATAAAGGCATTTCTCGTCGTGCCAATATTATGAGAACGTTAATATTCTCCAAATAGTTCCCCTTAAACACAAACCTTACCATTATACTATATACTAGCTGGTTATGTTAGGTTGTTATTTTGAATTTCATGAATTGTTCTACTTATTTTCCTATATCGTTGGTCAAATGATTTTATAGTGTTATTTATTTATTTAATATGACTAGTGATTTTCTCCTGTGTCGTGGGTACGTTTACAAACATACAATTTCACATGCACATCACACCCAGACCCGGAACAACTATTTGTGGATCACACAAAGAGTTGTTCGTGGCAGCCAGTTGCCCAGCCACCGCGCCAACCGTGCAGTCATAATAGTGTATTACGATCACTATCCGAGTTAGGTTTCCAGTTTAGACAAAATGATTTTAAAATGTCCAATATAAATTCTCATTTATAGCACGATACACACATTCTTAGTTTTGGTATGAATTGAGTATATCAGGATGTTTAAACACAAGAAGGTCGTTAAAACAAGCAGTAGTTCCTTTCAACCCAGATTAGGTGAGAGGTATTGTGATACTATTACTGTATGTTACAAAGACTACGCTGCACAACCGCTAATTTAGTTGGACATCGACCTTGTAGGATCTGTGGCAGTCTGACGGCATTTTGTTGTTGATGATGGCAGTGCGCGCGGAACACTACGCGCCATACGGTCGGCTCTGGTTCTAATCGGGCAACGAGCTTTCCTTGCTGCGTCGGCAAGGATGGTTACAGTAGCCGGAGTTCTCCTTCAGTGGGTAAGGCATGAGCAGGGTCGTTGTCTTGAACGCTTGACCTTGCGCCCCAATCATATAGAATTATAAGAGTAAGCTGGTAAAAAATAGTGTTATTTTAATAGACCTACCCTTTGGGAATAGACAGGTGTTGACATTTATATTAAACTGAAAGCACTAGTACTAGGACATGTCTTTGAAACTATACGTTTCTGAGAAATGTGAAAAATACTTCTGAAAAATGTCTACAAAGTGTCGTTACAAAGAATTCTCTGGATTAAATGCGAGAATCTTCAATTACGTACAATCCTGTTTTCCTACAGTATGGGCTTAAAAATTCATTAACTGCACTAATTGCATTTCCCATTTTCTTATCACAGTGGATGCTGGATAATCCTTTAATATGTTTGAAGTATTTTGTACCCTGACTCAAGCGGGTACTATTTTCCGGCTTATCTGTATTTATTATTCATATCTAATATTATAATAGTGACCTTGACCAAAAAGATTTATCAGATTTAGTGCATCAAATCGTCAGCATTGCATATAAAGTAATAGCACGCAAAGAAAGGATATTAATACTTTTTTATGTGATAGGTTGGCAAACGGATACCCTGATGGTAAGCAATCGGCGCTGCCCATGGATACCCGTAATCTTAGAGAGTTGCGAGTGCGTTGCCGGCCTTTAGAGAATTAGGAATTTTGGAGATTTAGGGATTGGAGACGTTTGGGAAGGAGAAAGATTGGGCCTCCGGTAAGTTCACTCTCACGGTGAAACACAAAGCTGTGGTTGTTTCACGCTGGTTTTCAGTGAGGCCGTAGTGTAAATCCGGTCGGGCAGACCTATTCATAGTAGTATTTCATTCATAGTAGAGAGAGGCTTGTCTCTCCCACATTTAACATAAATAAATAGTAACATGTTTCTGGGTGCAATGCTTATAATTTTCAGCTAGAAGTTTTTTTACTGTATATTATTATATGCTGCACAATAGTTAAAATGGGTGCGCTTTTCATTTGATTATTTTTATGGTTCACTTACGCCCGGTTTCTGAAAGGTTTGTCAACGCTAAAATTAACTAATCTCCTGTTAAATCTCTTGTCAAGTCATCTGATTGGTTGTTGATAATTCAGTCAACCAATCAGATGACTTGACAAGACATTAAATTGATTTTAACATTGATCGGCCTTTCGGAAACCGGGTGTCAGTCACTTTACTTCAAAATTACTAAAGATTTAATTGCAAGTATTCAAAAGTGTTTCCCACTATGATTAGCATTACAAAACACTATTGAATACAATGTTGATGAGTGAAATTCAATCTAGTTTGGGTGTACAAAGTACGTACTGTTAAATTAGCTTCAACAAAATCCATAAGCAGGTCACGTTCGGTCTCCTTTCAAAAACTCGAGCCCGCTGTTGATGTAAATAACATTAAATTAGTTAATTCGGTTATGACGTCACATTTGTTTCAGTGGTTGGATGTTTCTGAAGTTTTCAATGACATTGAAACCCATTTCTCCGCAGAGCGCTTACAGTAACACCTACTTATTTACTCGTTTTGTTTTAAATTTAGTCTGAAGGTGGGTGGAGGTATTTATAGCCATAGATTCCTTTTTAATCTTACTAATATTATATAATAAATGTCAAAGTTTGTGAGAATGTATGGATGTATGTTTGTTATTATTTAACGCAAAAACTATTAGACCGATTTGGTATTTGATGTGGTGATACCCATAGACTGCTTTTTAGCT